TACTCTACGGTTGACTCTGATGAGGTGACTAGAAACCCCATAGGTTCAGAGACAGAAAGTAGCAATGATAGCCACCATGGACCAGGAAGAGAGCTATCTTTTAATGGGTACAACTTCAGTGTAAATAGATGCTCTGGAGACAGATACTGGAGATGGATGCACAACAATGACAATGTGGTCACTCCCATGTTGTTCCTTTGAAATGATTATTATAACAAGCTCACCTACACAAAGTTTATCACAAAACAAATGCATAAATACTCAAAAAAAAAAAAAAAACTAACTCCATCAAATCCCCACCTAATTCACATACTATGTGAGTATAAAGTGAATCTTAATATAGTTACAGACTTAATTAAAATCAGGAGCTTCATCTCTTAGGGTATCTTTATTAAGCAACATTTAAAGCTCAGTCCATGACATGGACACTGTAATGTATCACAAAACAAGCTTCCCTGGGAACCACACCCAGTACTCATCCTCTTGGCCGCTCATTTTCCTGCTACTGATCTTCCCCATATCTTCATTCTCATCACTGTACAACTTCATCTTTTAGCCAATGCATTTAGAATGTAAATAACCATAGAAATGGAGAGATGGCATAAAATATTCAAGTGCTACACTTAATGTTTCATAGGTTTTTAGTATAAATAAAAGGAATGGGAGGAGGGAGATGCTGTTTTAGGATTCTAAAAAATACATGTTTGTTTCTAGGTTTAAGATAATACACAAACTGAGAAAATGAAAAGGTTATTGTGACAGTGTGAGAATGTCCCAATCCACATCTAATCAGAAAAGCTTCCAAGTCACTTGAATGTCCCCAATTTCCAACAGCATGAGGTTAGACATAAGACACAAAACTAAGCAGTACCACATGTTGACAAGCATAAAACCCCAAATTTTAAATTGATTAAATAAAAACAATTAGGACGGGGAAAGTAATCAGGTCAGCTGTAAGCATGCAAGAATCTAGACATACAAGTAATGCAATGCCAACAGTCTGATATTGACATTTCAAAGTAACCTAATACTGTAACTTGAGAAATGCAAATTGATGTAAGAACTAGACTAAATTAATATTTGAAGTCTCATATATGAAGGGCCATGGTCACTCTTATCATGCTCTAAGCTCTAAAATACAGTAGGCAATTAATAACAGCTTTGATTTTATGAAGGTTACTAGAGTGTGGAAGCCACCAAGTGCTCAGGAGCTCTGCAGACAGACACAAAGGTGACCTAAAGGGGCTTTACTTCTATATGACATAAAGTTAACATGTCAGTGCTTCGGGTGGCATGTATTTAAGCATGAAGGAAGCACTCAACCCTTGGGTGATGTGTGTAAGAAGGAAAATGTCATGCTTAAGGCAGTGTGTACAAACGAGTCAGAGCACTTGATTTGCAAGAGCTGAAGGGGTTAAAGAGGAGACAGGACAAGAGTCATGGCCTTTTCCATAAGGAAATGGCCTTATTCCTGAAAGATGGACTCATTACTAAGAGATAGGTCTTCTAAGGAAAAACAGGAGTTCAAAGTATTGAACTGGAAAGCCAAGGTTGAAAAAACAAGCATGCCCATGCTTTGGGTGATCTATCGTGTAGAAGCAGGAAAGAGTGTGACCAAGGGTTTATTTATTTGGCATGAGAAGCAGAGAGGGTGGCATTTAGCCTAGGCTGGCTTTGAACTCACTGTGCACCCAAGGATGACTTTGAATTCTTGATTCTCCTGCCTCCATCTCTTGAAATCTGAGATCACAGGTATGGACCACCAAACCTGGCTTTTGGACAATTTTATGATGTAACCTAAACATACACAGAATCTGCTCAACTTCCAAATTGTGTGAGGAGAGCATCACTCTACATGACAGACCACATTTCCCTCACTGATCAGTTAGTAAATTAATGTAAATTTAATAACCACTTATATTTTAATTCATTTTAACTTTTTTTTAAAACAAGATGAGTTTTCATTGGATACATATACTTGTGGATTTAATATTTATCCTTTTGTTTCTTAAATCTTGATGAAAATTGGGAAAAAACCAAAATGGGAATTATTCCAAACCACAACAGTAATGTCAAGCCACTTTCTATAACATAATAAAGAAAAACTCCAATAGTGTGTTAAGTTTAAAAGTAATAATTGCAGTTCAAAAAAAAAAAAAAACTCTACAAAAAAAAAAAAGTAAAACATTAAAATGTTTTTGCTTTTCAAGATCAGAGAAATCACTGACTACTCTCTTAAAGACAGAAAAATTAACAATTCTTGGCTTTAAAATGTTCAGAGGAGAGCTGTTACTTTTATTTAAGAATGTTAAGTATTAGTGAGTGACTATCTAAAAGACAATTCTACATTTATGAGCTGCTGGGATACAGTTTAGTTAAGATTAAAGATACCTAAAACAGAATGCAAAGAATATCAGATCTTTAATAGCATGAGGAATCATCAAGAGCAAAGCCTTATCTTCCTCAGGAAAGAGAAAAATGGACACTGTAAGTAAAGCAAGGTCTGGAAACCCCAATCTTTCAGATGTTAAGAGTCTATGAGTCACTATGCCACCACAGGAGAAAAGGGGGATAAACAGCCCATGAGGATTCAAACTTTTTTCCTAAGATATCATATAGTTCATGGCTCAAATTATAATTCCAAGAAATATATGAGAAAACCATATTAAATAACAACAGTGGACCTCAAAGGCATGAGCGTTTGTCACTTTATTGTTAACCAATGAATTATCCAAAATTAGAGAATTGTAATTTACTTGTACATCATGAAATTATGCTAATGGGAAATTACCAAATACTCATCTCATTAGTGTGTTTTTACATTGCTATATGAACATGTGCTCTCAATTGCTAATGAAAAATAACTGGTTTATTCTCTATGAAAACCCATATTGCAAATGGCTGTTCCTGTTTAGAAAAATCCATACAGCTTTAAAAATGGATTAAACCCATTTTAATCCTAATCTACAAATAGACTATTAACAGCAAATATAACTGGTAGCCTCTCAACACTGTAACCACGGTGTAGCAATGATAATGTACACAATGCAAATGGGGAAACCAGTGAAAATCCATGAGAAGTTAATTCTTTTAGCAATAAGAACTACTGCTCTAGTGCTTTGGGAAAGTGAATGGTCATGTTTCAAAGTAGAGCAGTAAGGCCTACCATCTCGCCCTCTCCTGTATGGAAAGCAGAAATGTCCCCTCACAAATGATTTTGAAGCATGTGCACAACCACTGTACAAGAGTCACTTCAAGGTTAACCAGTTGTCTTTTGTCCTACAGAGTTCAAAAAATATATTAAGAAAGGCCTTTCCTTTTCATAATGTCTACCCAAATTATTCCTTTTAAAGTCAACAAAAAAAAAAAAAAATCAAAAAACAGCACGAGATATTTTCAGACACAAGTTGAATCTACTGTGCATGAAAACTGCTTAATAAAATGGCAATTGTAATAGATAAATGTAAGTTTGAGTGCATAATACCAAATGGGACGTAGCTGAACCACACAGAGAAAACAAGGCTTTTTTCTGTATCTTCAAACTGAGGTGCTTCATGATCAAAGAACATAAGAGTATCTTTCTAGCTGGAAAGATTCTTCAATAAGATGTAATTGAAATGAGATTTGTTTTAAGAGACTGCAAACAAAATAAGCAGTGATTTGGAAACCAAATACGCTAAAATGGTGTATCTATTCATCAAGAATAAAGGAAGAGAATCCTTCACATGCTGCAAAGGCAGGGCCTCTCTCCCAAAGGGGCACTCACTTCCTTAGACACAGAACACCCCTCAGGAAATAGCATACCAGTGAAAACATACAATCTGAACACATCAGAGCCCCATAATTCAACAGAAAGGCAGTTAAAACATTAGCACTGGAATTTCCAAAGTATATTCAATGAAGGGCATGATTGAGACTGTCTATGGATAACAGACATGTAGCGTACACACACAGTGTGTGTGAACAGTCACCACAGGTGTAGAATGAGGTAGTGTTACTTTCTTAGAACTGATAATTTCATCTGCTGCCCTTGCAGAAAGGTCCAGGGCTGTTTTTGTTTTTAAACAATTAAAATCAGTTGTCATCGACAGTATCTTCTATTAGACATTGTGTTTCTAATCAACCTAAAAACAAACCCTGAATCTTTCAGAGACCACTTACTCACAGGCAGAGCTTCATCAATAAATTCTCCTACAACTGCTGCCTGCTAGCTCCATCTCTGAAGTGGCAGGCAAGGAAAGCCACTAAAGGATCAATCATAGGACATGATACACCAATCACTTGAGCTGGCAATGATGACTCTACTCAAGTAAATGAAAAGCAAACACCCAATAATGCAATTAAGGGAGTTTTGTAATAATTCAGCACTTCTGCATACTGTGCTGTTCAATGTTGCAATTGTCTCCTGATATAGTAGTCCCCTACACAATGATCACTGTCTCATCTATCCCATATCTGTTTTCCCCAATTTTAAACACCTCCAGTAAGTGATCTGTATGACACCAGAATTATGGCTTTGTCATGACAGGGCATGAGAAGGCCACACTTTAAAAAACATGAGAGTGAACATGGAAATGTATGAAGGCTAAACATGGAAAGGGAAAAGAAAACTGAGTTCATTAACTGACATGCATTGAGATGTCCACCATTACCCTAAGATGTACACAGTGCTCAAAGCACACACACACATTTATCAGACATGGTCATTAGTGCTAATATTCAACTGAAAAAAAAAATGAAACAGAAACAAAACAATGAAAATGTACAAAGAAGTGACAGAATAGCATTACCCATCCCCTGGCCAAAAGAAAAATGACCATACATGACATTACACTGCCTTAATGCTTAAGAGCACCCTTCAGAATTCTGGTTGTGAGCACAGTCAACTGGTATGAGTGCTTTGGCAAGGTGGGATGCATTCCATCGCATCTGCAAAGGCCTGCTTTTCTCTGGTGGTGGTTCAGCTTATGAAGGACATGTATCACAAGAACAGCTCTCACATTGCTTCAAACTCATCGATGCGCTGCTTTGTATTGCCTTGTCGAATCTGTCGGAGAGTCTTGTACTTATCACGGCCTGCTTTGACATTCTCAGCATGAAGGACATCATTCTGGGTTTTCTTGGTTTCATCTCTGGCTTGGGCTAATTCCGAACTTAGTGCCTGCATTAAAAAAGTATTACTATTACATAAAGTTTTTAAAAGTATGAAAATAGTTTAAAGATGCAAAAATACATGCACACCAAATCTGACTCTTTAAGATTACTAATCTTTCCACTGTGTCATGGTTTTCTGGGTGGTATGCAAGCATCTGTGTGGAGGTGTAGGATCTCCTGAAACTGGAGTTACACACAGTTGTGAGGTGCTGTGTGGGTGCTGGGAATTGAACCCAGGTCCTCTAAAAGAGCAGCCAGGTTGTTCTCTTAAACACTTGGCCATCTCTCTAGCCCCACAAGTTTCTTTTTTAGTAACTGAGATGGGGAGGAATGTCCAAGGCCTTTCTTTTCTTTAATCATCAACCATATTTTATACATTCTAAGTTGCTTTAACTTTCTTAATCAAGTTCAAGGCCGTCACTTTAATGAAAAGTTAATATAAGATTAAAAAAAGGAACATTTTCTCTAGAAATATTAATATAGCTACTGTAATTATCATTTCTTTATTAAGATTTCACCAAGTGAAAAAAAAAAATAAAATTCTAAACTGTTGAATAACGCTGAAATTTCCTATTCTGACCTAATAATGTATACTTATATTGTTGCTGGAGTTTCTTTTCCCACCGCCCTTCAGCCCCAAATAAGCACATGGATGCTATATTAGTTATAAAAATGTTGGCCAATGACTAGGGCTTCTTATTGGCTATCTCTGTCTTAATTAATAACCCATTTCTATAAATCTATGTATTTCCACAAGGTCTTAGCTTGCTAGAGAATGCCTGGACCTGCTACTCCTTTTGTCAGGCATCTCGTTTGGTGCCTCTCTGCCTACCTTTCCCAGAATTCTCCTTGCCTCCTTAGTCCCACCTATCTTCCTGCCTCTATTGGGCAAACAGTGTTTTTGTCATCAATCAATCAGAGAAACGCGCGCGCGCACGCACACACGCACACGCGCGCACACGCACACGCGCGTGCGCACACACACACGCGCGTGCGCACACACACACACACACACACACACACACACACACACACACACACTCTCACACTCGGACATCCCCCATTGTATTAAGAGCTGGACACCTGAAGAAGCTAATTTTGATGGAGAGTATTAAGTGCACACACGGCTGCATCAGTACCTGGAGCTGCTTCTTCACACGTTCGTTTTTCTGTGTTTCCGTCACCCGCTCCTCCTCGCTTCTGTGATTCATCACGCCCTCACTGGATAACTCGGCACTGGCCTCAGCACTGTTCTCATCATGCTCATCATGCTCATTCTCTGTGGGAGGAACAACTGGTGGAGGGGGAGGGGGAGGAGGCGCAGACATCACGGTTTTTAACTCTTCTTTGGTCTTTTCCAAGTCTTCCTGAGCTGCGAAAGCCTGAACAACGAAAATAAGTTTGTGAAACTAGAAATAAAAAGAATTTATGCTGACTTTGAAACAAAATCTATATTTCAAAGATATGTCCTTTTAATAAAAGCTCCATTTTTATGGGATTCTAGGAGGTAGGAAACAAACAGTTTTTAAATATCTCCTAATCAAAAATATTGGTATAGGTCTATTCTTTGTTGCTGTAACTGTTGTATAAATGTTTGGTGGAAAACAACTTAAATCTCTACAATGCTGAGAAATGTCACACTTAATAGATTATAGCTAAGGCACAAGCAGAAAAATAGAACAGTTTACAGGAAATACTCTCAGGGAAGATAAAATGGATGACACAATGAGGAAGCAACTAGATAAGACACACGAGGAAGGGTATTCTACAGACCCTTTCAGCAAATCAGTATGAGCAGTATCTGTGCTAACACTTAAAGCAGACACAGAATCTAAACACCTGCTTTTCACGATGCAGAGCAACTACCTACAAACTACCAAACTAATTGCTTAAATTTTGGAATCCAAGTATAATATAACAGATGATAATTCAATAAAATGGAATTATATAAACAACAATTTCATTTCAAACATATATAACTGTACACATAAACATAGGAAATAGGAGAGGATACACATTGATGATTTAAAACAATGTCCTAGTTTATAGGACTGTAATTTCATTTTAAATTAATTTTTGTTTATCTGTGTGCATTTTTAAATTGTTCACAGGACTTGTAGCTGTAAAATATTTTAAAAGTTTGTACAACTCTAAAGTTCATAAATCCCTTTCTAAATAGGGTCTGTAAGATTCTTGTGACAAAAGAAGTATAACAGACTAACCATTTTACTCTATTATTTGTATGTGTTATGTGTGTGTGTGTGTGTGTGTGTGTGTGTATGTTATATGTCAAAAATATTCCAATAAAAATTGAACTGACTCCGCCAGGCTGTCCCAGCACTTGGGAGCCTGAAGACAGGTGGATCTCTGTGAGTTCAAGGCCAGTGTGGTCTACAAAGTAAATTCCAGAACAGCCATGGCTGTTACACACAGCCATGACTTGAAGAAAAAAAAAAGCTAACAAATAAAAAAAGTTGAACTGCCTTAAAGAAATATTTTATACAGTAAGTGTATTTTATTCTAGAAAAAAAATTCACTTATTTCATGTACCTTCCTTGGGTATATAAATTGTAAGTGTACTTATTTTAAGTTGATGTTATTGAATTAAACTCATTATCTTTTCTGTGCCATCCTTCCAATTACAAGTTTCATCTTTGCACTTGTGAATTCTCATTACAAGTCTTAGCAGTATCCACTCCTCCCTTAAGATTTATAAGCAGTTAAAGGCTGCTGGGGAAAGAAAGGAGCACAGGAGACCCGTCTCTCCCTAAGGAGCAGGAGTGAATGGTTGCTGAGACACTTTCCTTAGTGGTGTAGCCACTGGCAAGCTGTCCATGTTCCTGTAAATCAGATTTTACCCAAGCTCTGTAACCCTAAAGACTCATTGGTCCATTAGAAAGAAGAAAATCCAGGAAAGACGAAGGGGAGACACCAAGTGGGAAGAACAAGGGGACCAGTGGGAGTAGCAGCAGGACTAGAGAGAGTAACTGGGTGAATGTGGCCAGACTATATATATGCATGTATAAAAAGGCCATGTCCATGTATAATTAAAGCATGCCAATTAAAAAAAAAAAAACTCAAAAAGGAAAAAAAGAAGTCTTACTAGTGGCAAAACTACAACCCCCAACTCAAGCTCACCTCCTGTAATTGATTGTTATCTATTTAGTCTACCACAAAGTGTTTAATTCTTTCTTTTCATTTTCACCACATCCTTTGGGTATTATAAGCATCCAATATCTCAATCCATACTTCACAATGGAAGAGCTTGGGGTTCTTTTTGTTTTGCTTTTGTTTTTCTAAAATCTTTATAAAATCTTCAGAATCTGTTATCTACATACACAGTCCACCAATCTGCATCAGCAGACATTTGTCTGAAGCCCCATAACTCAATTTTCTATTATCCAACTGTCACTTTCATCTTCTTTAAGTCACACTTCAACGGCTACTTCTACTTTCTCTACTCACTCATTTCTTTTCTATCTACAACAGTCAACAATGAATTCCAGCCCTAAATCATTTCCAATCTTAAAACTAATTTATTTCTCAAGACCCAACTTAAATGTTTATTACTTTCCCAGATACCTGTCTGGTTCCCCTAGGTGATCACCTCGCATGCATTTCCCTGGGACTGAGCACGTACCACTCTTATTACATCATCTCTATAGGGTAAGCAAGCATACTGCCGGCTCACAAGCCAGCATACAACAAAACAGTGATTACTTTGTGTTGCCACTCAGTAGCTTCCTCTTCCTTTTTCTTCTTGGCTTCCTCTAAAAGTGCAATCTTGGCAGTGAATTCGGCAAGTTCTGCTGCCTAAAATGAAAATATTTTTATATTATGAATACTAGAGACAATATTTTTAATATTCCTTTTTAATGTTCAGTTGAAATATTTTCAGGTACATTCTTAGGCTGCTTTAAGTTTCCCTTGATCTTCCATTTTTAAAAAGGCAGTATTTCCTGAATATCTTAACTAGCTCATTTGAATATATACATGAGATGATGAGATAATACAGAGCAAAGTTAAAAGACTTTTTTCTACAGATGAGTAGTTACTCTTATTTCCATAGTAAGGACTTAAATGTGTAAGAGCTTGTTTTAAAAGTTTATCATTAAACAAACAAAAATTATATAATGTTCTGTAACTATGAAAGTATTTTGTTAACAGTTTCATCTGATTCCTCATTAGTTCCATTTCAAAGAGAAAAAAAACTAAGGTTCAAAAAGGAAAGGACAAGGGTGACAATCACACCTCTGGGATCCACGAGATTTTTGGTACTTAGGAAGTGGGAGGAGATGATGAAGGGTTCAAAGCCAGCCTGGGTTAGTATCAAGACTTTGTCTACAAACAAGATTCAAAGACATGTGATAAATGAACACCTGAATTGATAAGTATATTTAGAATCTTCTGTGTCATGCATACTTTCATTATTTGGAAGTACACTAAATGAACAAAGCGCCAACCAATCATAGCTTATAGATGTCATCCAGAAAATAAACATGCTTTATCAATTTATCTAAAATGCAAGATGCCATATGTCCTACTGCATAGCCAGTCCAAAGTCAGAATTAGCGTTCTCAACCTGTGAGTTACGACCCTTTAGGGGCAGGGGAGGATAGAACGACCTTTTCACAGGGGACTATCAGAAAACAGACATTTACATTATAATTCATAACACTAGAAAAATTATAGTTATAGCAACAAAAATAATTTTATGATCATAGGTCACCACAACATGAGGAACTATATTCAAGGGGCACAGCATTAAAAAGTTTGAGAATCAGTAGTCTAAGTGAATGAAAATCCTTTTGTTGGCCACTGGCTCCACTTAAAAGGAAACCATAATCAGAATATATTATATGAAAGAAGATCTATTTTCAATTTCATAAAAGGAAATAATATGACTCAAAACACATGGACCCCTTTATCCTGTTTGGTTTTGATTTTTCTTTTTTTTTTTTTTTTTAGGCAGAAAAAAAATGTTCAATTTCTGACATTTGTTATTATCCCTTTGGCATGCTTTTTAGAAGACACCATGTATTTGGTGAAGTGTTGCTCTTGCCAAGAATACATAGAGCCTTACCAGCTGCTCCTGGTTCTTCATTTGGTCAGCAGCTTGCTTGGCTATGGCGGACTTGGCCTCCTCCGCAGCTCGGCGCTCCTTGTCTAGCCGCTCTGCCTCCTCTTTTGCTCGTTGGCGCTCCTGCTCCAGTTCCAGAGCTTTCCGAGTCTGTTCTTCTAGTTCTGTCAAAGGTTTCACCCAGTCCACAAAACATGGGTTAATTTCAATCATCTTAATTACAACAAGATGCCAAAATCTGTAGTTTCTACAGATCACCATGTGTCTGAATATACAAACACTTCAATTTTAACTTTGTTTTTACACAATTTTAGAAATTATGTAATCCAAACCTGCAAGGACACTGAAAGCCCCTTACAGTTCAGGTTGTGTAAAATCACATAAAAAAAAAAAAAGAAAAGAAAAGAAAGAAAATCTTTAACTTTTGATCCAGGGGAATTAGAAAGGCCGTGGCCTGGGTGGAATAACACTTGAGGAGAGCACTGGCCCAGATGTACAAGGTTCAAAGTGCAATCCCCAGCACTGCCCAAAAGTAAAGATAGAGTTTCTTTATCAGTAGGCACCATATTTAGAGATCTATAAATTAATGCATTTTAAGACATATGTGGCTAGGGCCATAGCTCAGTGCTATAAGTCTTGTCTAGCACACAAGATAAAGTTCAACCTCTCATACCAGGACAAAACTTTAAGTCTTACTGACCATTCACCTCAACTAAACACAGGTGGGGGACCCTCATTGGAAATGCATGGACAGTCAGTGTTTTGAATTTCAGATTTGTGACGATTTTCAGTATTGAATGTACACAGTGATAGAATTTAGAGCTAAGAGTCAATATAGCATGCAATTCATTGGTTTCAGACTCATCTTCCTTGCACAACCTCAGATAATCTGATGCAAGACTTATTTCAGTGTACCTATGCTGTGACTGAGACCTGCCACATGAAGTCAAGCATCCAGCTTTCACTTAGGACATTATGTAAGTCTGAAACATTTCAGATTTGGGGGTATCGAGGTCTTTATGGATTTATTTGATGAGTCATAAACAATCTTGAGGGGCTAACTGTAGACACTAAATTTGAAAAGCAATTTGACATAAAAGCTCTTATGTGACCTACAAATCACTTTGGCGCAGAGAGAGAGAGAGAGAGAGAGAGGGAGGGAGGGAGGGAGGGAGGGAGGGAGGGAGGGAGGGAGGGAGGGAGGGAGGGAGGGAGGGAGAGAGAGAGAGTAGGCATACCCCCTTAAGACATAATGAAGTGCCTGACAAGCACTGTAATCTGTGCATGTACCAAGCTTATTTTTTCTTATCTCAGTAAACTGAATAAGAAAATATTACTAACACAAAACTATTTTTTAAAAGCCTAGATGACTTTAAAACATTGAATGTAGCATTACTTTGGCAAGTATTACTAAGAATTCTGACACAACAGTGTGTAATGTCCAAAAAAGACCAAGTCTTCCTTGTTGTGTCCTTTAGAGAGATGTAAAAACAAGATTTTATACCTCTTAATTTTACTGGACTTGATCAAAAGTAGCATAAGTAATCTCAGATTTGGGAGATGATTCTAAGGGTTAGTTAGAGAACAAAAGTGACTCTGGTTAAGCTTTAAGTTCTTGAAAATAATAGCATACAAATCTAGCATACAAATTCTATGTAGCTATTTAGCTACAAATATTAAAATGTATACTACAGGATGTTACCACAGCTTAATTACATGATGATTCATTGAATTTTCATTTAAAATTTAGTTAAGTTAACCTAGAATAAGCTTCTCTTGCCCTACTTGGCTGACAGAGCTCACAAAGCTCATGGCTCTACCATTTACCTACACAAACAAATTGAAAACAGGGTTCCAAAGAAACACAAGTATGCTAAGTCTCAAAGGTCAGGAATTCTGAAATACGTTCCAATATGTATGAGTCTGCAGGTATTATACTACATGCAATAAGCCAGTCACAAAAAGACAAACACTCCATGATTCTACTCACTACTATCCACAACAGGCAGGCACAGACAGAGAAGGGTATATGCTAAGGGCTATGGGTAGAGGGGACTAGGAAGTTATTGCTTAACAGGCAGAGGTTTAGCTTTGCAGGCTGATTCTTCATATCTTTAAACCATATACTTCAAAATTGGTAGTTTGGTAGTATGCTAAATTTTTAAAAAGATTTATCTATTTATTTATTATATATACAGTGCTCTGCCTGCATGTATGCCTGCAGGCCAGAGGAGGGCACCAGATCTCATTACAGATGGTTGTGAGCCACCATGTGGTTGCTGGGAATTGAACTCAGGACCTCTGGAAGAACAGTCAGTGCTCTAAACCTCTGAGCCATCTCTTCAGCCCTTGTGTACTAAATTTTTATGTCTGCCACGGGGGGCGGGGGGGGTGATCTTCTAACAAATTTTTGGAAGTTTGGATTACAAATTAAAATTTGACAAAGGTACTCCCTAATGTTATTTTTTTAAATCAACTTTCTGTAGTATCAATTAAAAAACAACAAAGATTCAATAACTTTTTGTTACAGATTCTTAAAATGACTTTAAAAAAGGATTATACAAAAACCCGTCTTTTAGAATGTTAAAATGAACATTATTCTAGTCTCACCTACCAAAAAAAAAAACCCACAACCCATTTGGATAGTTATATGACCTTAAGTGGAAATGGTCAGTTTTCACTAGAGCACTAGAACAAGGGTTAACAAATGCTGACCTATGTACCAAACCCAATGCTATTTTATTAACATTTTATTGAGACAACACCAACAACTTCACTCAGAATTACATGACTGCTTTCACACAACAGCCAAACTGAGTAATCAAGATGTGTTAATGCTTAAAATATTTACTGAATTCGCCCATACGTGAGTCAAGACTGGTGAAGAACTTGATAAGAATGATAAGTAGTACAAACTGTCCCCCATCTGGCTCATTAAAAAAAAAAAAAAAAAGCCAACACCTTTCCATCTTGGGGATGTGGTATGAAGGCTCATTTAAAATACCTCTTTCAAAAGTCACAAAGACAATCTGCTTATGTCCCTACTCATGTCAGAGTGGTGCGGTGCGTATCTCATAGTCATAATAGTTAATATGGAGGTGATAGGCAAAGGTAATGTAAATTCAAACTAATAAAATTTAAGGAAGCTTCTCTTCCTCACTCATATTTGAACCCCAGCATCATATGACTTTGCAAGTCAAATGATTTCTCACCCCAGGAACCAAGTATAGAAGCTACTACTAACATTGTAATAACAAAAAACAAAACAAAACAAAACACACAAAACCTATAAGCCTTAATAGATATAGCCCAAACATTAAGTTTTTCTGCCTCTTTTCAAAGGCAATGGTTTATCAACTACAGTATCTACATTATTGATTTCCTGGGGAAAACACATAATCTTAGAAGGAAAAAAAGTAACAATTTAATAATCACAATTTTTAGAATTCATAGAACACTGTGGCTGTGTATTATCAACTAAAAAACAAAGGAAAACAACAACAACAAAAATAGTACACCTAAGTAATAATGAAGTTATTATATGGCATTGTAAATAGAGTGAAGATTTCAATGACTAGTATAATTGTTAGGATACAATAATTGAAAACAGTAAGGCACAATTTTTTTTTTTTTTTTTTTTTTTTTTTTTTTTTTTTGCCAGATACAGTGGTGTGTACCTGCAGTCCTAGGTACTTTAAAAGGCTAAAGAATATGATCAGTTGACTCCAGGAGTTCAAGGCCAGCCTGGGGAATAAGGCAGATCTTCTCTTAAAACGAAACACCCCAGGATATGTGTCACACATGTTTTGTGTGACAAATGAGAAGACATTTTCACATGTGCTGTGTATTTACTCTACGTATCTGCCTCCCAAGAGTGGACAATAGCAAAGCCACACAGCAGCCTGGGACTATCATTCTACTGGGACAGGAAGACCAAGCTGAGGATACAGAGCTTGAGACTGGAAAAGTACTAGGAGGACAAGTGCCTTAAAAGGGAAGGGGCAAACAAGGAGAAAAGCCTCATCAAATCTGCATGCTGTTTCCCTCCAGTTATTTGCCAATTCCCCAAATGTGCATATAAATGAGACACAAGGAAGCACACAGAAAGCATGTAGGAGGCTACAGAATCAGAGAAAGAAATCGCACTCTTGTGAAATGACAGCATTTGGTGCTAACAGAGACAAGCCCTTATCATCTAGGCTACCATCTCTCTGGGAGAAAATATTTGCAAATCTCATATTTGACAAAGATTTGTTGTTGGGTTTTATGTTTGTTTGTTTGCTTGGTTTGGTTTTTTTTGAGACAGGATTTCTCTGTGGCTTTGATGCCTGTCCTGGAACTAGCTCTTGTAGACCAGGCTATTCTGGATCTCACAGAGATCTGCCTGCCTCTGCCTCCCAAGTACTAGAACTAAAGGCATGCGCCACCACTGCCTGGCTTGACAAAGATTTGTATCCCAGACATATAAGAACTCTTAGAACAACAAGAAATCCCATTGGCCAGTGAACTGGAAATTTGGACATTTTCCCCAAAAATAAAGAAATGGCCAGTAAGCACATGGAGAGATACTGAGCATCATTAGATACTAAGGTGTCAAACTCAAAACTCTAAGAGCACTGTAAATAATTTAGGAAGATGATAAATCAAAAAGACAAGCATTAATACATCCTGGAGAAGATGCAGAGAATTCACACATTGCTGTAGGAACATAAAGCCAATTAGGCAGTTCCTCAAAAATTGTAAGTCAATATGGCCAGCGATATGAAAACAATAAAACAAACCTGTTTATGTAATTCATAAGTTATATACAACAAAGTGAAATAGTAAAAACAATACAAGTGCCCAAGAACTGGTGGATAAAAATATAAAATATCATTCAGCAATTTAAAAACACAGATGTACTTTGAAAATACCAGGCTAAGTAAGAAAAACCAATCATATGTACAGAAAAGGCAAGTCTGTAGATGTGGTGATGGATTAACAGTTGCCCATGGCTGAGGGGGGTTACTGGGAGAAATTAGTTGACTGCTTAATAGGCATGGGATTTCTTCTTAGAGACGACAGATTCTGAAAATTGTGGTGGTAGCTGCTCATCACTCTGAACATATTAAACAGCATTAAACTGTAGTTTAAATGGCTAATTTATGGCATATTAAGATAAAACTAAGACCTCAAAACAAATTCAAAGGCAAAATTTACATAGGAGATGACAAATGACTGGGAAGTAATAAAAGAAAGTCATAATGTCCATTATCTTATTCTGACAAGCTGCAAGAATAAGACTGTGTACAGTTTACATGATTTTTTAGGAATATACTATCCAGTAACAAATGACTAGACTTACTCCTAACAGCTTTATACAGACTCTATCAGTATTTTCTGAGGTATTCAGGAAATAAAACGAACTATAAATAATCTCTGAATGCTAAATTAAGAATTATTTCCACTTCAGAATTTAGAAACCTAAGAAAATGAGGGTGTTAAAATGACTCACTCATGGTCATATTCTAACTTGATGACAAAATTAAAGTTTTGCTCCTAACTGTAAACAGTCCTATCTAATATTCATCACATTATCATGCTGACTGCCTCTCCACAGTTCAAACCACAGAATGATTTTGTTAGTTGTTGTTCCACTTCCATCAATAAGTGTATGCAACAAAGCAGGAACTGCACCTGTAAGGATTAAGGCATTATGCTGGCCAGCCACTGTCATCTGGCAGAATGCACTCAGGCAATACCCTGCTCAGCCCAGGTGCAAAGGGCCTTTAAAAGAAAGACCTCCACTCACGCTCTCTTTCTGCTTTCTTCTCTTTCCTGCTCCTCTCATGACAGGACGTTTTCTGTTTCCCTCCTCTCTCCTGTCCTTTCTCGGTCTCTGTGTCTCTTTACCCCTTTTCTCCCCCTTCCCGTTCTAATAAAATTTCTCACTTAAGCTATGTCTGCCTGGCATGTTTGTCCCCTGCCTTGGTCAACTTTGCCTGCCATGGAATCCACCAAGGTTCACCACATTTAATCATAACAGCATCTATGTAGTTCCATGCATCCAGTACTTATTACACATCCAGAATTAATGAAATCACTAGACCACAACTCCTTTCTATAGCTTGTCTTACGGAAGTCAATTTCACTTGGACATTCATTAGAACAGCAAATGAATGGCAGGTCTAGTAACAGCATCTTTCAGATATCCCCAACACAGCTTAGGATGTTCTAGGACAATTGCTCAACTCTTTTTGTTCTACTTAATGAGTCATTTGAAATTACAGCTTCAATAAAAATTAAAACAAAATGACAATGAAATATGATTACTATAACTATCATGACATATGGTCATTTGCTGCACTTGAATGAAAATTTAGCACAAATTACAAGACAATCATGTAAGTTTTAGGACTGCCTGGGAAGCTTTATTTAAAAAAAGAAAAGTACAGTGGTGGATGTCCTTTCCTTAAGATGACTGACTTGCAACTGTCTTGATAAAGGTGGTCTATATTCTTTATGTTCTAGCTCCCTTATACTCTTCAGTGCTTCTTTGAGTAGTTTTGTATGTAAACCATTAACACTTTTATTATACATCCTAAATAAATGAGATTAAAATTAAAAGATTTAGTGGTTATTCTCTCAAAGAGTTATATAAATTTTAAGAAGCTATGAATCAATATTTCATCTACTATCAAATATTCATTCTTTAACTACCCTTCAGTATAATACAGAAAGTCATGTGCCCAGTGGCACTAAGAACCAAAGTGAGGGCCTCACACAAGTAAGCAAGCATCCCGTCAATGTGCCCTATGTTCCTTAGTCCTGGTTGCTTTCCAGCATTCTTGAAAGGTGCAACTTATACTAGTCATGTGGTCCTTAGCACACATACATCATGTCACTCTACCAATGTTCTATAAATGTATTTCTTTCATCTGCACAGTTTTACTGCCATGTAGGTACTCCTAGAAGATGAAAAGGTACCTAAAGCAGAATACACAACATCAAATTTGGAATTCATTCTATCTCCACTTTGTGGTCTATAAACAGATACTTTACAATTTTTTGGTGGTGAAGAAAATTCTAGGTTATGAGAGGCGAGGTTTACTACTGAGTTAGAATAAAATATTTTAAAATCTGTGTTTATTTAGTCTGTGATATGGATACACATGGAGGCCTGAAGTCAACCAGAATCTGTTCCCTCCCTCTCACGACAAGGGTCTCACTGACTTGGTAAGACTGCCTGGCCAGTCAACCCCAGAATCTTCCTATGTCAGCTTTCCCAGTACTGGGTTATAAGCCAGTACCTTTTATGTAAGTTCAGGGACCAAACTCAAATCGTCATGCCAGCACAGCTAGCTAGTGCTTTATCCAATGAGTCATACCTCCAGCCCAAAGCACACATCTGGTAAGGTGGCACATACCAGTTATCCTAATATTTGTGAGGAGGGAGCCAGCAGTATTAAAAGTTTCAGGCCAGCCTGAGCCATCAATGTCCAAGTTCTATTAATTGTTAGGTGAAGGTATTATAAACAGAATAAGTTCATATTATCTGCTGATATTCTGCAGCTTGGGAAGGACAATTTAATCTGTTCAATTAACGTTTTTTCTTCTATTTTTTCCACTAATGCTTTGTCAAAGTAGTGTATCCTAGAGTTATTCAATGTAAACACTATGTCTTTCTTTGTACTTCAGCACTTTAAATACATGCTGAATAGAATGTTAATCTAAACATCAAAAGCAAACAAACAGCATGGCATGTCTTGCATGAGTTTGTGTGTTTTGGAGCCGAATATGAAGCCTTATACATACTAGGCAAGTGTCTTATTGAACCATACCCCCCACCTTTAGTGCTCTGTGATACACTACCTACCAAATGTTGTACAGAACCCATCTCTAGCCTTCAGTGCTTTATAATAACTGAAATCAAGTATTTCTTAGGGGCTTAGTTTATACAGGGAGAACTTAAAAATGTGTCAAGTATTTAAATGTCCCAAAGCACTATACTAAATGGGCTGAGGTTCCAGAAGCTATGAAAGGCATGTTTTTAGTTATGGAATTCCAAAAAAAGTTAAAAAGTATAAATTTATATATGGATAATATAGAAGAATACAAAGAACATTTGCATGATTAAAAAATGGAGGGGAATAAGAGTACAAGAGAACTGTGTGTTAAACAGACTTTGATAAGATTCCACTATACACTAATCTGTGAATTAAACACAACTACTCTATACAACACAAATAACATCCCATATCGGCAGAGAAACACTGCTATTTAGCATCACAGTAATAATCTTGAGTTCACTCTTCAAAAACGCTTTTACCTTTCTGGGCTTTCATCGTCTGCTCTTCAATTTGCCTCAGACGCTCCATGAGTTCTTCCTTTTCACGTTCTATTCTTTCCTTTTCCTTCTCTGCTATTTCCCTTTTCTTCTTTTCATTCTCTAATTGTGCCCTTAAATTACAAGTTACATAATACAAATAAACAGGTAGAAACAAATTAATCAGTTATTTGTTCTAATCCCAAATCAAATTAAGAAAGCGTAACATAACCATTTAAAGACTTCAACATATTCACCATCTACAGTTCAGTTTCGAGCACTGCTGCACTACCTGCTCATAGCCATCTATGGCAGCATGTGCTACAACCCCAGAGCTGGGGGACGGCAGAAGCAGGTGAGTCCCTGGAACTTGCTGACAGACCTTGCCTTTCAAGTGTCTTCCCCAGTGGCTCTCGACTTCTAACCTCCACACAATTAAGGTATGTGTATGTACATACACACAATAACACACACAAAATTTTCAAACTTAAAACAACTATACAAAGCGTGGTCTCAGAGACAACTCAGGTGGGAAAAACCTCAGGAGATCTAGCATATGCATACAGAACAGATTAAATGTAGCATATGCATACAGAACAGATTAAATGTAACATCTTAATATAGTTTGCTGCACCTATTGCCGCAACCCAAGGGAGTTCACTCTTTTAGTTAACAGGAGCCCTCCATTAGGAAATAACAAAGGTTTAAAGAAAACATATACAAGTACCTTCAACTGCAAAACAGCTTGGGAGCTCAATGATTTTCAACCATTAAAAACAACTTAACACAAACTGAATTTCTGGGTACTAGCCATTTATGCCTAGATATAAGATGACAAATAAACTACCATCTTTCACAATTTAGAAGGTATTTAATGCTGGTAAAAGGGGAAAAATATCAAGAAGATTTATCTGTGTCTGTCACAGTCCTAATAAGATCATGGGGGGGGGGGGGGGGAGTTGGGAAACTAATATAGTCATCAAACATCTAGCAAGAGCCTACCCTTGGACAAACTCCATGTGGGTGACCAAAACCAAAAAGATGAGGACACTAAACTGTGTTACTTCGTATGCTTAATATTCAAATTACTACCTTCAAAGATAGTATTTTTCACTGAAGTGATTCTATCTCTAACATTTCCTTAATATTCACAAAAAAGGTACCAACTGCCACCTAGTGCCAATTATATCACAAGCTGTACTACCAAACAATACTTTCTTACTAAGAAAGCCTGAATTTGGAAATTCCTGTAGATCTTGGGCATCTATCTGTTCCCAACAAAAAAAAAAAGTGTAGAACTCTGCAGGAAAACTGTCACAAGTTAGCAAGAGTTGCTGGTGGTGACTTCCTGATACATCACTGCTGACACAGGAAGCTGAAGGGTCACTAAGCCTCCTACTGATGAATGAATATGGTACTGCATTTAAGAACCAAAGACCCGAGGCTAAAGAATTGGCCCAGAGGACCCAAGTTCAATTCCCAGCATCCACATATTAGGCCACAATCATCTATAACTCTTATTCCAGGGGATATGACATCCTCTTATGACCAATACAAGCACAAGGCACATGTGTAGTGTACATACATACATGGGCAGACAAAATGGTAAATAGACATTAAAAGAAAAACCAAATCTTTAAAAAATATTTTAAAAGAACAAGAGACAAAGAAATGATAAAGATAGATAGATAGATAGATAGATAGATAGATAGATAGATACATACATACATACACACACACAGACAGAATGAATGAATCAAGTGAGGGCTGCTCCACTCCAGTTCTAAGTTCTCTATGATGGACTTCCTCAACACCCAGAACAAAGAGCCAATACCTATCTGTCCTGGGTCTCTGCAGCACTTCCCGCCTCATTTCCATCTATAAAGTATACTCAGGCAGAGACATTGGAAGCTGGGAATTTCAACACCCCTAGAAAACTTAAATAAAGAGGCTTAAGAGCAAGCTGGCATTTCCGAGGCTCCTGGGACAAAAGCAGGGCCTAGCACCAGCCCTCAACTTTAAAAGCCTGCTGTCCTCTTGAGCTGTTCATAGAAGCAGAAGTACCAGTTTTCAAATAACTACTTTTCTACAGCATGCTGTCTACAACCCAGGTTGTTTGTTAGGCTATTCCACCACTCCGTAGCCTCTGAACAGTCATGTACAGCACTACCACAGGTCCTTAAGGCAGCTACCTTTCTTCCTGCCACACTCTGAGATCGTTAATTCTTGAGGATTCAGTACAAACCAAGTCTCAAGGCCTAGAGGCTATAACCTATCTCAGGGGCTCAAAACCTTCTGGGTTACTCTCTGGCACAAATGTCCCTTCTAGGGAAGAGTGTTAGCTTCATTTAGCTTTTCCCTATTGGTGTCTCATCAGCTCTTCTACAGGGATGGAGGTAAATGAGATATGTAGATAGGGGGTGGGGGAAAAGACTGAAAAGAAGGTGACTATAAGTAAGTATATAGGAGGCAATTACCCTGATGGTGTGCAAACATTTTGGGGCTGATTCTGCAGTACTGCTGAGATGCATTTCTCACCTCTTATCTCCACAGACCATACCAAACTACAAGGGCATTCAGCTCTTCACATCACATGCTGACACCTAGGGTTGCTATAGGCCTTTCTCATCTCCCACATAAAACTGGGAGACATTATTCTTCCTTGCACACTGAAAGGATTAACCTGGTCCACTTACTGATCCCTAAGAAAACCCTGCATATTCTTATCTCTACACATTTGTTTATGCTGGCTTCCTCCTTTGAACATGCCTTTCCCACACCCTAACCAAATCACATTTTCCCCAGGAAGCTTCTTGACATTACTCACATTATATATGTATGTATTTTCATTTAGAGTTTGGGTTTCTAAATATTCATTTCAACCCAGTTCTATTTTGAGGACATAAATATATTAAAACTACACTGCCTCTATACTAACACGTAACATTAAATTATTTTAGAAATACATTTCACGCCCATCACCAAAACTGTACAAAAAGTCTGGCATTAAACACACCAATAAGAGTCTGTAACTTTTAGATAGCTTGTCCCAAGCAATTAAATGAACAGGTACACATGAATACCTTTCTAACTGCTTCTGGTGCTTTTCCTCCCGTGCCTGAGCCTTCATTTGCTGAACTTCAATAGTATCAGGCTTCCTCCTTCGCATGTACAGTTCATGGTTTCCCATACACAAGGCCAAAATCCGCTTATTGATTCTCAGACGAGGAGCATAGAAAACAAAATCCTGAATAGAAAATATTAATTTTAAAATCGTTCACAACGACTCAATTTCAACATGTGTAAAATTCTGATGTCACTGCACATTAAGTTTAGGGACTCCGAAATCTCATACACCTCCACAGTTCCTTATCCCTTCATTTCTCACCTGTTTTCTAAAGATGAACTAAATGTCATTAATTCTTTCAAATTCTCCAAAGACTCTACAAACAGCTATCCTTACACCCTGGAAAAGGGTTTGTTTTGCCAATACTGTCAAAACTGGTCTTTCTCCATGGCTGTTTTAATCTAAAAATGTTCTTCAAATATTTATCTTTTAGATAACAAAGATAAGTACTAAGTACTAAAGTATATTTGACACTAATTATTAAAAATCTAAATAAAAAGTCTCAAATATTAAAATAGAAAGTTCAGAGTACACAAATAGAGTTTATAAAAAACAGTAACCTCTACTACAATCTTGCAAACAATAAATGCTGTTTAAATTACTTCTTAGGGATGACTGTTAATACCCTTCCAATACCATTACCAATCATATAAATCACAGCTAAAACTCTTACATCTTAAGAAAAATGGAAACTTTTGTATTTTAATAGAATTTCATCATTGAGAAAAAAATGTAACTATGGGAAGATAATATCCCTCAGAAACAATTCGGGGTGATAAGTGCCCTTCTTTAAGTGTCATAGAAAGCAGCAGAAAATCTTAAGTTGATAAACAAAAAAATACTTACAGGTGCCTTCTTGTCAATTGGCTTTATAACAAATTTTTTGTCATTAAAGGAAATATTTCGGATTTCACTCCATGGAAAACCAATTTTGGGTGTTAACCTTACGGGGAAAAAAAAGTTGCTTTAAATTTAAGGCAGGAAACAGTGGGAAATATACAGCTCAGGGACAGATCAAATGGCAAGTCTTAAGAGCGCCAGACTCTCAGAGCATATAATCTTACACTATACAGGTGATGCTAACTTAGAAAGGAAAATTTAATTCAATCACATAAAATAATAGCCATTCAAGATTTTCTGGCTTGAATTTCTCTTCTGTTTAGTTTTTACCATGTTGAGTCTTAAGCTGCAAGGATCAGTTTGGTAGGACAAAGTAATTATAACATAATCATAAATTCTGATGTGGAATATACAAAGTACTGAATATTAAAGATTTCCTCATAATTTTAAGATGTTTAGATACATGACTATATAAAAGTAGTGAATTTCAGTAAAGTTTAATTTTATGATATGTGAACCTAATAATGAAAATTGCTCCCATGTTCTTACTACCCCTCTCCCTGGTCCCCTACTGTTTTTAGACCACCAGGCTCTTATTATATAGACCAGGCAAGCCTAAACCTTACATCCTCCTGCCTTAACACCCAAGAACTAGGATTTCAGAATGTGAGCCATTGTGCCTAGCAATTGTCACTACCATTGTGCCACGCTGTTTATAAACAAATTGGGAATCAGACTGGAATCATTTGATTCCAGTCATGGAATCTCATGAGAACAAAAATGACTATACACAGAGAGGCCATTTTAATCAGGTTCCTGATAAGAAAACAAGATTTTCTGCCTATTTATATTACTATTAATGCCTAATAAGCACTACGGCATAACTACTTATTTACATAAAATAAATCAATATGCATGTTATTCTGCCCTCTAATGGCCAATGACACAGTATCAGCACAATCTGCTTTAATGAGGAGGGTGGGAGGGATTGATAGCGTAGATTTATTATTCTTTAGAGAAAGACTTTATTATTATTGTGTGTAATGGTGCACATGACAGCAGATACCCTCAGAGGCAAGTGAATCCATTCTCCCTAGAGATGGAGTTAGAGAAAGTTGTGAGCCTTAAGACATGAAAATTAGGAATCAAGTCTGCAATCTCTTTAGAAGTAGCATATGCTCTCAATTGCTGAGCCATCTCTCCAGCCCTTAGTTTTTACACTCGAAAAGGACTATGAGTTTGATATATTCACACTGTATTATATATCTGTATCATCCATTTGTAGTATACATATATAGTATCAACATATTTTAACATTATATACATACACATAACTAATACTATATTACAATATTAGTAAATACTGTAAGATCATGATGTAACATATAGGATATGAATTGTGTATATATACAAAAAATTAAGTTGATCAAATTAAAAATATTACACTAACCACTGTAAATAATAGGATAATCTACTGAATTGATCTTTAAAAGTATGTAAAACAATTCCTACAAGAAAATGCTTAAACATATCTATTATTTCCTCTTGACTTATTATGTAAGTTAACTTATTTCAAGCTACAAGTTAACTATAACAACATTTAAGGACTCCCTTAATTTACTGAGGTAACAGCTTTTACTTGTTACTAGATTTCACTCACAAGAGATAAAAATGGCACACTGTAAATACAGGCAAACCCTCTCATGTAATAAACAGACTCAGAAGTGAACTCTGAAACTACAAGGTACTAGGAAAAATAGAAATGACATCTAAAACTCAATGTGGAATTAACTACTTCTTTACTGTAAGAGAAAGAAAGCAATAAGGACAATCGAGTCAACTTCTCCAAGCAGAGCTAATCTGAAAGCCATTCAGACCACAGAAAGACTAGCTCACCAGACATCTGTATACTCACTTGTCGTCATGCTCATAAATATTCAGACCCAAAGCATCAACACCCAGCCACAGTTCAGTGCCCTTCTTATTCTTGATTTCAAAGTAATTGACACCATACATTTCTAGATCTTGTGCAATCTTCAAATATTCCATCATTGAATCTTCCCTATGAAAATACAGCTGAATGTAATACATTTAAGTAGACACTTGTAAACATTAAACTAAAACTACAAAAATACTCAAACCTTTTTTAACATCTGTGTGTGTATAGGGGCCAGGAACAGCATGTGTACAGGCTGTGTCAGAGTCAGTATCCTGGCTGAATACTGAAGTCACAGAAGATGTTACCAGGGAAGGTTAAAACAGTTTTAGATAGCTTAAATTACTTTAATTCATATTTTTAAATGGGCATTATGTAGTTTACAAGAACCCAAATATTTCAAATGACTCATACTCTACATTGAAAAAAATAGCTATCTTATTATTAACAGAAATTAAGCAACAGACAGGAAAAGACATCTCTCTCTCTGTTTTTTTTTTTTTTTTTTTTTTTTTTTGGTTTGTCAAGACAGGTTTCTCTGTATTTCTTTGGAGTTTATCCTGGAACTTGCTCTGAAGACCAGACTGCCTCAAACTCAAGAGATCTGCCTGCCTCTGCTTCCTGTGTGCTGGGATTAAAGGTGTGAGAAACTGACACCCAGGAACAGAGAAAACAGAATTCTTAAGTCCTGATTATTTCTCCATAGCTACTATTTTTGTGACTAAATTTAACATTGTCATTTAATGTAGATAGATAATACTTTTGATTTAGAAAGGGGGGAGGGAGGGAGGGAGGGAGGGAGGGAGGGAGGGAGGGAAGGAAGGAAGGAAGGAAGGAAGGAAGGAAGGAAGGAAGGAAGTCGGTTCTCTCCAACCATTTGGGAGGGATTCAACTCAGATCATTAGGTGTGGCAGCAATTTTAGCTGCTTGCTGAGTCATCTCACCAGCCCAAGAAGATTTTAAATGAGATGAAAGTGCTTTAACGTGGAAAGAAATAAACAGAAACTAGTTCTCAGATACCTTAGCATTCCTCTGTGTTCTTCATGCCAGTTTTGTATTCTCTCCTCCCACTGTTCTTTTGTCAGTTTGTGTTGCTCCAAAACACTACAAAGGAAAAAGAAATGTAGTTAATGTCTTTGATTAAAAAAATTCAAGGTCTTTTCAAAGTCTATAGAGTCCTTTCATAACTTGACTATGAAAGCTGTCACACAAATCAGTGCACATGTTAAAACAACACAGAACTAAAAATATTACTGAGCATATAAAACAGAATAGAACAAGGTCATAGGCTGTGTCAGAGTCAGTTTCCTGGCTGAATACTGAAGTCATAGAGGATGTTACTAGGGAAAGCTAAAATAAAGTTTTAGATAGCTTAAATTACTTTAAATAATTCACACTTTAATGGCATTTTATAGTTTACAAGAACTCAAATGTTTAAAATGAATCATACTCTGGATTGAAAAAATAGCTATCTCATTATTAACAGAAAACTAAGAACACAAAGGAAAATAGAATTTTTGAGTCCTGATTAACCCTTTTTTATACTCTATATATACTATTTTTGTGACAAAATTTAACATTGTCATTTTATGTAGATAATACTTTTTATTAAGAAAGAAAGCATAAATTAAGCTGAACATGGTGGTGAATACCTATAATCCCAGTACTTAAGAAACTGACGCAGGCTAATTTTGAATTTGAAGTCAATGTGGGCTACACAATTTACTCAAGGACCAATGTGCTCAAGAACTCCACACTAAACCCTATGTCCACACACTTGTGTTTCATCTGTATTCTGTCAATGTTCTTACTCAACAGTGAACTGATAAAGTATTCATATTTTTCTACTCAACGCCAAAGCAGCAAAAGCAATATATTTATAATAAAACACCATAGACTCTGTCTCTTTCAGCCACAGGAAAATTAACCACTTTTGCTTATGGTGGATCCTTAGAGGTTACAAATCTAAGGTTGCGTAACTAGCAAAGAGCAGATTAGATTCAGTTCCCAAACTTCATTCTCCAGTCATTTGTTCCCATGCAGTGTTGCTCTGAGTGTTACAAAGGTGGGACTGTATTGCACACTAAACCAAAACTTCATTCTATGGAAGAAACAGCTCTTGCCCCTTACTAGTCAACAGTGTTTATTATGCATCTACCTGCGTGTGTTCCAATGTTTAGAAACAGTAATTCATATTGTTCCCTTAAGACCAAACCATACTCCTTTTGCTGCACATCCTACAGACATGAACACAGTAGAACAGATAGAAATCTGTGCTTTACTTGACTAAGAGCCACCTGGCAACTTAAAAGTCTTTTTCAGAAATTTGGCATATGCTTCTGGAATATAACTTTAGAGAATATTAAATAAAGGCCTACTTTCCTTACCGCTGTGGGAGGAGTCTGTCATTAGCCAGGTACCCTGGTTTGTGAATCTCTTTATTATAATCTCCATACTTGGCTTGGACAGCATAGGAAGCCAAAAGAACTGCAGTTTCTGGTGGGCAATATATCTCATCATTTAAGATGGCTTCTTTAACTTGCAAGAAGAAAAGTCTCTGTGTTATTTCTTGAATCAATTCCTCAGAAACATCTTCAGGAAAGAATTTAGCTCTAAACTTGAACTGTAAAGGATTTTCTTTTTTAACATCTTGCTGTGTCACCTAGAATAGTAATTTAAAGGATAATCAACAAAACTTAATTCACTGTAAATGAATATATTTACATCAAATTATTTTTTTATAGAAAGTGGACAGTAATGCTATATATAAGTCGTAAACAATGCATGTGCTAAAGTTCCTGTGTGTGGTCCTGAGGCTGCCAAGCAGCTCTGGGAGCCCAGTCAACAGCCAGAATGAAAATGCCTTTGTGTGCTGGAGCTCATCCTAGAGATGTTCACAGCTGGCGGGCCCGTTTCTAACACATGTTAACACCTGCTTCAAAATTCTATTTCTCACAATCATTGGTTCATACACAGTAATAGTAATATTGGAGTAGTAGTAGTACAGAGTAATAGTGGTAATATTGGAGATGCTTAAATGAATTAAAAGGCATGAGTAATGATCAAGAGACAACTGCAAAAGGAGGCCTGGACTTAAGCATACCTGCTAATACTTTTTTAGCACAGATTAATAAACATACCAAATTAATTTAATGTTACTATACACATCTTACCTTTTTATTAAGTTTAAGCCAAGTAGAATATCCTTTGCTGTCTACATACTGTAGCCCAAAAAACCAGACCTCACGTAAACCAACTGTTTTTACAACCTACAAAACAAATAAATTCAGATTAACATTCACAGAGTGATCAGATGACATTCGACACCATAGGTCACAAGGAAAAAATTACACAAGTAGAAGTGCCACAGAAGAGGGTTTTCCTTTAACACACTCTTTTTTTTTTTTGACAGGCTCAAAAAACATTTCTGAAAACATCAATTCAGCTTTTTATTCTCAGGCCTGTTACGCCACTTCTATCTTCATTTCCTTGGCTCGAATCACAGCCTCAGTAAACAAAAGAACAGTGTGAAGGATAGAAGCACAGATGGGGCAAGCCTATGCTCCTATTTGATTCCTGCAGTGTTCAAGCAGTACTTAGGGCAAAGCACTTCACTCTGGTGACAGAGTCTGGTGCCTTCAATTCTTGGACCATGTCTAAGTTTCACATTCTACACCATTGCTCACACTTTTCCTTCTGCCTACAATACTTCTGCATCTTTATCACTCATCGAATAATTTATTATTTAAGTCCCAGATCAACTGACATTCTTTCTGTGAATAAAATTTCTATCATAGAAATAAAATTATTAATTTGTTCCCTATACCAACTAGCTTACAGTGTGTCTTTTTATGTGTCTTAACACTTACATGTCTAAACACCTAAGGACAGACAGATATCATTATTTTATTCATCTTGAAATCCATGTCTTCTGATAAAATGACTAGTGGAAAATTCCCAGGAAAAAGCCATACTGTGTGAAGATTGTGCAAGACTAAGCATGGAGATTTTACAAGAGAAAGCATAGAGAGTTGAAATGTTACAGATGCACAAATTATCCTTGCACATCTTAGGTCTATGTAATTGCCATTCATGTGCACTTCCTTATTTGACCTAACAATCTTTCAACTATCTAGTTTAAAGAACAAAAACAATAACAAAAAAACCACCTTCAGACTCCATTAGTTTAGCAGATCACCAGCTTCTACCAACCCTAAGCTAAGAATATCATCAGATAACATCTGAAAGATACAGCAGTTTTTCCCTACTGCTATAATCCATCCCCGCTAAGAATATCATCAGATAACATCTGAAAGATACAGCAGTTTTTCCCTACTGCTATAATCCATCCCCCTACTCTCCCCACTAGAGTGGTGAATGTTCTATGCCTTTTTCTGATTCCGTGACTATAGCAATCCATAGAAGCACTCCTACAGTGGGATGTAGTCAAATCAACCTGTGTATGTGTTCCTAAAGGGCTCAAAATAAACTTATTCCCTTTGAAGTTAGAACTGTGTTGCATATGAACAAATCTGTGATGAGCATCCTAAGGGCTGGAATAAAGTGGCAGAACCAGAATGCATACCAGTATACCACCACATTACAGTATATTTTTAAAAGCCACTTGTATTTAAAATAAAATGAGGAAAATAAGGAGACATGAGATTTAAAATCTTTACAAAAGATTTAACTTCACTTAAGTAGTAAGCACTTTTGGCTACTTTAAGCAAAATTTTTTTCATTTACTAATTTCATTTTACATGTGGCTGTTTTGCCTGCATGTGTCTTTGCATCACATGTATACTGATGCTATCCATGGAGGTTAGAAGAAACTGTCCAATACCCTGGAACTGGAGTTACAGATAGTTGTATACAACCATGTGGGTGCTGGGAATCAAACCTGGGTCCTATGTCAGAGCACTAGGGTGTTTAACCATTGAGCCACTGCTCCAGTCTGATTAATGTTTTGAATGACAATCTTAAGAGACTTCTTTTCAAGACAGCAAGACACACTCTTCAGTTTACTTTCCTTTACTTGAAAAATTTAACTTAAAAGATATAAATAAAAAGTAAGAAAAAAAATAGCTAAGAAATAGTAAAGGTTGTAATTTCTTTAAAAAGCAAAAACTTCTTGGGGGGGAAGAATACAAAATATAAAGACTCAGACTAATGATGCAAAATTAAATCAGTACCAAACAATGAAAACTGTTAATTGAACTCTGACAAAGAGAATGTGTTGGTAATATTGTCATTTTCACAGGGTCTAGAATCACCTAGGAGACACACCTTTACCTGTGCCTACAAGAACTTATCTGGATTAGGTTAACTGAAGCAGAAAGACTCACCCTAAATGTTTCAATACTCATTGCTTCCTAATCAGTTCCAGCTGCCATGATTTCCTCACTGTGATGGACTAGATCTGAAAACTGAGCAACACTAAACCTTTCCTTCCTTAAGTTGCTTTAGTAAGGTTATTTTCTCACAGCAACAAGAAAAGTAACTGACCCAACAGAAGTATAGAAAACAGAGTTGCATGCTTTATGAAATTAAATGGTACCTGGTCAAAAAGTTGTTTGCCAGTTGTATTGGGCTGAATGGCAAATTCTAGCTCAGCATCCATTGTAGTTACTCGTACGTTGATCTACAATAAAACCAAAAAAGATAGTGATTAGAAAAGATAATACATTTACAAAGCAGTAAGCATAAAAACATTCTTTGAGTTACAGTATTTGTGTGGATTTACAATGCTGGGGACCGAATCCAGGGCTTTGTGCATGCCACGCAAATCTCTACCACTAAGCTACATCCCTAGTCCTTGTTTTTTTGAGATAAAGCCTTGCTATGTAACTTAAGCTTGGCCTACTTGCAATTCTCCTGGCCCATCAACCTCCTCACTAATGGGATTATAGGCATATACGTGTACAGTTAGAAAATCTGGGGTAGGGGATACTGAGAAATGAAATGGGTCCTCAAACATCATAGGCAAGAAGTGCTGTGAATGAAACTCAGGTCCTCTGCAAAGAGCATTATGCGTTCTTAACTACTGAGCCATCTTCTAGCCCCAAGGATATTTAATGTGCTGTTAACACACAGAGCTAATCTTCAACTAATATACAAATTTCAATGATAAGTAACAGATAAATATTAATTATAAGACAAACTATACTTTCTAAAGTAGTTATAAGTTTCACATTCCTGCTAAAAATAGACTGCAGAGTTACAGGTGTTCCTTTCTTATTTTTGTAGCTTGAAAAGAAAGAATTTCAATCCAACTCTCTAAGCTTTCCATGTTTGTTCGTTTTTCATTTCTTTAGCAATCTTTACCCACTCTACCCAAGAAGAATGCTGGGACTCAAATGATTAGAACTGAATTAAATTTTACATCTGGAGGAATCTTAAGAATGCTTTATAATTACGCCTCCAACATTTTCCCATACAATCAGTTTTGGTTTTTTAAGACAGGGTTTCTCTGTGTAGCTTTGAAGCATACCCTAGAACTAGCTCTTGTAGTCCAGGCTGGTCCTGAACTCACAGAGATCTGCCTGCCTCTGCCTCCCCTCCTAAGTGCTGGGATTAAAGGCATGCGCCACCACCTGCCTGGCTACAGTTAGATCTTTACTATGGTAACTTCTCAGTGTCACTTCTTTATTTTTTTTAAGTAGTTTGTTTCTGATGCTGTAACATTCATTTTTAAACTCTGATGCTAATATATGAAATTTTTCATTATTATAACTGTAACTATGTATAATATCATTTAGTTTTATTATTAGTTGTGGTAGCTGCTTTAGGTTGATGAGGATTGGCTGAATAAATACCTTGTTACTTACAAATAAAATTTTTTTGCTCTGGGGTGAGGTGATTGCTCAGCACTTAAAAGTACTTGCTGTGCAGGAAGGAAAACCTCAGCTTAAATCCCCAGAAACCAATATAGAAGCTGAGTATGGCTGTGCCCACACTTGCAACCCCAGTGCTATGGAGGACAGAAAGAAGGGCACTGGGACTTGCTGGCCACGAGCTTAGGTCCAGGTTCAGTCAAAGACCAAGCAGGATATTAAGGTCTCCTCTGGCCTCTGAAGGTAGGTAGGTATGTGTGTGAGTGTGTGTGTGTGTGTGAGAGAGAGAGAGAGAGAGAGAGAGAGAGAGAGAGAGAGAGAGAGAGAGAGAGAGAGAGATGTGCACACAGAGTTTTACTTCTTTCTGATTTTTACACCTTAGTTTTAACTTTCTTTTGCACCAAAGTCATTTCACAGTGGTATCTATGCCAGAAAATTCTAATAACCAACCAACAATTTTGTTAATAAAAAAATGTATTTGAGCCAGTTATGGTGCCACATACCTATATATATATTTTTAAGTCTGTTTTTTTAATTATGTGTATGTGTGTACATAGATTTGTGCACATGAATGCTGCATGGTTCCTATACATGCCAGAGATATCAAATCCTCTTGGAGCCAGAGTTAGAGGAGGCTATGAGCCTCCTGACATAAGTGTTGAAATGTAACACTGGTCCTCTGCAATAACAAAATGTTCTGATCACTCTAAGCCACCACTCCATCCCACTTATATTATCTTATTCCCAAGACTCACGACACTGAAGGAGGAGGATTATGAACTCAAGGCTACCTTGGGCCATACACAGACACACTGGTAGCCAAAAGAAACACTGAAGAAAATGCTGTTTCATTACCCTAAACCAAAAGGAGTACATCTTAGCCGAGAAGCACAAACTTCCAAGAGAAAGAAAATGATCTAGGTATGTAAATCTAGGCCATCATCCAAGTTCAAATTAGGAGAAAGTTAAAAGGCATGGGTTTTGCATACCTCTCAACTATCTTCTGCTAACAATAAGTTACATTGATTGAGCACTAAATGTATACTAGATTCTTATAATCCTTGTTTCCTTCCTTGAGTAAATTAAACTATATCCCTACATCATACAATAAACTAAATTATAACCCTTCTTTATACAGTAAATTAAATTGTAACCCTACTTTATACAAAAGAAGTCAAGCAAAATGGATTAAACAAGTCACACAGATCAACAATGAAAACCAGGATAGAACTAGACAGCTTGGTCCCAAATGTCATTAATTTTAACCTTAACTGTAGTGTCACCTGTGATTATTCTTTACAACCTACAAAATGCTAAGCAGTATCAAGAGATATAAAAAGCACTTACTGGTTTCGGCATTTTCTTTCTCCTATTTGTTACCTTCTTTAGAAACTCTTCACTTCTATAAACGATTATAGCCTGTTTAAAAAAAAAAAAAAGCATACTTTATTATCTTTCATATTAGGTTTAGCTGCACCTTACACAAAAAGGAAAAAAGTAGAAAACCAGGTTAAAAGTGTCACCATGTTCTCTTACAATCATGTTCAATGTCTTCAGCTAGCATTTCACATTCCCTTAAAAAAGTATATGGCACTGAAAGCAACACTTGTCTCAAATAGCATAGCATTAACTATATTAATCTACTGAAACACCAAGAAAACAAGCAAGATTTCTAAGGACCCAAAGACTGGCTCTCCCATACAAGCTCATCAAGGCACCTGCCTTGTGTGGAAAGGGACAGTAAAAATGAAGGCGGGTAGACTCAAATACTAAGGGAAACTCAAAAAGCTGATCAAAGTTGTCTTCCTTAAAAATTACTTTTCTTTTTGAAATTCTAAAACCTGAGAAAAATACACAACAAAACACATACAAAACAAAAATACACCTTATTCGCCTAAGGTGAAGAAGGCAGCCACAATTCTACATAGCAATACTGGTGCTAGTCCCCAGCTAGTCAGTGGGCTCCACTGAACCCCAGTGGTCCTAAGTGAATGCTGATGTATGATTTCTTCACTGAGGCAGCACATCTTAATAAGAAAGGGCCACTCTGTGCTCTTGGAAGTAAACAGTCTTACTAAGAAACATCAACAATGTTTGACTTTCTGAGAAATCTACCAACCCTTTATCATTATCAGCTGTCTAGGAAGAGATTCCAGCTCCAAACCTTTCACTAATGCTGTATCATTATAGATAAACTTATGTAGACTATCACTGACAAGATATTTGTAAGCACAGCTAAATTAACACACTTTCAAATAAGGTACTTTCCCTAAATTTTATTCAAACACATGACAAAAAATGTCTATATAGAGAAACTTCCTCTTTTTTTTTTTACCCCCCCCCCCAAGTCACTGGGCAATGACATTCAGGTGGAAGTTAAAATACCCATCCCTTAACTTTTTGTAGCCTATTCCCTACTCTCACCCACACCCCCCTCCCCCCCCACACAGATTCTGACAGGCCAAATTTTCTCTAACACTATTGCCCCTCCCTTAGTTCTAATATTATCATATATAGGACTTGATTTTAACAGTTCCCATGCATGGTGGTGTACATCTGTTATCCCTGCACTCTGATCCCAAGCAAGAGGACAGTGTTCTACGCCAAAGTGGAATACATAGTAAGTTTGAGGCTAGTCTCAGCTATATAGTGTGCAAAAATGAAAAACATTTTTTAACTTCCAAAACTGGCTTGCTTTCACTGCAATCTCTATCTCTAGACCTTTTTAGCTACTTTAAAGGGTTATTCAACTATAAAATGGCCCAAATATTTCCAGAAACAGTCATAATGCTTGATAGTAACTTTTATTTCTTTATTAGATGTATAATTATGACTCTCTTTAAACTCGTAATACTATCAAGTTTTGCCTGCCACCCCCCCCCCCCATTAATCTTGGCAGAAGTCCACTTAGGTTATTGAGCTTAAAAAAAAATTACTTCTCAGTTTTGTTATAATTGTTTATCTTTCACTTTTGTTAATTTTCATTAAGTCTCAATGCTTTCTTCTACTCTTCTTACTCTGGGTCATTTTGTGTTCTCTAAAATATATCAAAGAAATGTCCAACCTTTGTTTTTTACTAATTAATGCTTAAAGATCATAAGCTAAACATATCCAAAGTTTAAGGGTAATTCCATAGTAATTTCACTAACAAACCAGTGAGAATATGGAAAATTCTTTTATCACTTGTATATTAAACTTCATCTATAACATTTAGTGGCATAATAAATGGTAAAAACATGATCTATAAAATATTGATACAGGAAATTTGTTTCTTTCACAATTCATAGAACAATTTACTGCTCTTACATAGGCAAGAATGTCTAAGAAAACTTCTCTCAGATTATAATAGTTTTTAAGATTACAGTAACTCCATTTTTTCATGTGTATTGTGATATACAAGCATGAGTATATATACCCATAAATATCTGAGTATAAGCATCAGCCAGAGGTTAATGTGAGGTGCCTTCTTCAAGTGCTTTCCATTTTCCATACCGAAGCAAGGTCTCTCACTTGAACTCACCCATTCAGCTAGTCTAGTTGGCCTAGTTTATCCAGAGGATCCTTGGCTTCCAACTCCTATGCTGTGGGATTATAGGTGAATCAACATATCCATCCAGGACTGCCATGGATTCTGGGGAGTCAAACTCTGCAGGAAGTAACTTCTACCAACAGCCATACCCTTAGCTCAACACCAGCAATATTTTAAGTAAATGTATTGTGCTATCACTCATATTTTGCTTCCAAAACCACAACCACTCATTAGGACACACACATCCCATTTGTACTACACTAATAACAAATAAAAAAAAAATCTACAATGTAATTACTAGAGTTTTTAAATTTTAAGGCTGAGTTATTTTAATAAAATCCATTCTGGAGATATATCTTTTTATTTAAATTAGAAACAATCTTATTTTACTTATCAATCCCAGTTCCCTCTCCCTCCCATCCTCCATTTCTTAAATTTTTGGTTGTAAGTCTAGCCTTTAATAGCTGAGCCATCTCTCCAGCCCCCATCCTCCATTTCTTTTGTTTGTTTTTTCGAGACAGGGTTTCTCTGTGTAGTCCTAGCTGTCCTGGAAACTGCTTTGTTGACCAGGCTGGCCTTGAACTCAAGAAGTCCACATGCCTCTTGCCTCACAACTGCTGGGATTAAAGGCATGTGCCAGCACCCCCACTTTTCTGCTCTGGATTTCTTGCCTATTTTTTACAGTTAAACCACTAATCAGAGCCCTGTGAGTATTACAAACACACCTGAATTAAAGGAGTTTCAGGTCAAATACAACTTTAATGTTCAAAATGAAGGTGGCATCTTGCAATGAAAGGTCTGAGAACACAATGTTTCCCCTTTTTCTGGGATTATCCTCAGGGTGGTGGGGGAACATTTGTCATGTACTTGAAGCTATACCATTTTTATAAGTTGCAAGCTCAATTGATTAGGGATTTTTGTTGCTTTTTGCATTTAGTTTTTCAAACAGGTTCTAACTCTTTGCCCAGAATGGCCTAGACCTCACTATATTGCCCAGGCTGGTCTCAAAATTCTCTCGATCACCCTCCTGCCCCTGACATGCCTGGGACAGCTTTGATTTTTATATGTACTTCTCTCATTCATTACCAAGCTCTAAATCTCAGTTTCAAACTATTATTTCTAATCACTACTTTAAAATATTTTATGTTATTGCTTTCCATTTTTAGTTTTCAAATGCAAGACTTTTAGGTCTATAGGCAAAATGTTAATTTTTATGTTTCTGCATTTGCTTCAATATTAAAACCCTTTAGTACAGGGCTAGTGACTTGTTCCAGATATAAACAAAAATACTATATGGTATGCTTTGGGTAATATAGAACAAGCTAAGCCATGATTTTAATTTCTAAATCTCTTATTCTACTCATTTTAGTCTACCTAACCAATCTTGACAAAAATACATCAAGCTTTTCCAATTGACTTCTGATAAAAATGTCAGTTTTTCCCTTCTACGAATTTTTAGGTTGGTAATCAGATAAGCAGTTCTAGAACTGTTAAATCTTTCCAGTGAAGTGGTCTCTCCTCATATAGCAACTGTACACAGACATGTGGCTATGACTGCTCAGCATTTCGAAGTCTTAATTCTGGCATTTGTTAGCATTACTGAGTAGTCAGCTGTCAATCTAAGTCATTCCTTTGTATTAATCTTTTCTTTCTACTTTAACAATTTTTACTTTCCTTTAATGTCAGATTGTCTGCAAATTGCCACAGATCTGGTGAGCTTCTTCCTACTAAAGATTCATCTTTTCTTGGATTCTAGGACTCTATTAGCCACTGCCTCTTCTTCTATGCTCGTTTTACCCAGTAGTTCATTTTGGACACTCTGAAATTTTCCTATCCATTCTTGGACTACATTTTCAAATTTTCCATCCCTTTAACTGAATGATACTCCTCTAGCCAGCATGTCTCTACAGTTGGATGAGTGTTCTGAGGCAAGGTCTCACAGTAAGCAGCTCTGGCCAACCTAGCACTCATAAACTAGAGGCAATCCCCCCACCTCCAGAGGGCCGGAATCACGGGTGTGAGTCAACAGGCCCGGCTTCTCCAGTTTTGTTTAGGATTTATTTATGTGTATGGTTGTTTGTGTGGATGTAGGCCTCCTGAGTGTAGGTGCCCAGAGACGCCAGAAGAGGACAGCAGAATCTTGGCACTGGAGTTATGGGCTGCTGTGAGCTATATCTGATGTGTATTCTGGGAACCTAACTGCAGTCCACCAAGAGAGCAAAAAATGTTCTTAACCACTGAGTCATCTCTCCAGCCCAATTCTGTTTATCTTTAATTTATTTTTCCTGTCCATGACTTAAAATTTCAATGCTTTTTATTTCTAGAAATAAACTTTAAGGATTTTAAATTTTTATGTGTGTGTGCAGGTACCTGCTGAAGCCAGAAGAAAGTATTGTCAAATGTCCTGGAGCTGGAGTTAGGGGAGGCTGTGAGTGGCCCAATTTGGGTGTTAGGAACTAAGCTTGGGGTCCTTTGGAAGAACAGCAAATGCTCTCAAGCATTAAGCCATCCTCACATCCCTAGAAAGCCTTTTTTGACTAAAACAGTTTAATACTTTCATGGCATACTTTCATTTAAAGCCCTTTATTCTTTTTTAAAACAATTTTTATATTTAGTGTATAGATGTTTTGCTACATAAATGTCTGTATATTGTAGCAGATCCCCTAGAACTGGAGTTAGACAGTTGTGAGCTGCCGTGTGGGTGCTGGAATTGAACCTGAGTCCTCTGGAAAAGCAGTCAGTTAGTGCTCTTAACCACTGTGTCATCTCTCCAGCCCCTCCATTTATTCTCTTTAAAATTCAATTTTCAGCTCATAGAGGCTTGTTTTTCATAGTCATTTTAGAGAGCTCACATCCCTGATGAACTCTCCAATGAAGGAAACTTGCCAGT